ATAAGTTTGTTTTGAAGTTTTAAATCTTGAATCTTAATTTGTCGTCATCCTTTTTCTGACTAGTATTTAAAACAGGGATGACACATGTTTGGTTTAATCAAATTAGATTTTTTTCTATTTTTTTAAGGATTAATTAATAATTAGTATTTATGTATAATAAAATTATGGGATAATATTCACTGAGTTTTGAGTTAAAAAAATTAATTATGGACTAAAAAGTGAGCTTGAAATGAGTTTAAAATTTAAAATATTAAAATAAGAGGTGCAAAGTATAAAATAAATAGGATATGCAAACTGTAAAATATGAAAACTCATACCCTATGCATTATTATTTTTTGCAAGTGAGGGGGGCATATGCCCCCTAAATTATATGTAGTTCCACCCATGATTGTATTTAGATTTTTGAGAGATTAATCTCATGGTTGCCCATTGCGGGGTACCTTAGAATGAGCTGGAAGCATGAAGCTAGTGAAGAAAGAATATATAATACAACACAGGCGCATGCATGCATGAATCCATTCATTTATCTTTGTTTTGGGGCAAACACGCAAACTCAACTTCATTCGTATTGTATAACGCTCTTTATTCTCATTATATTGTTTAAATATGACTTGCATGGTTCCTATCTCATCAAAATGATAAATACCACGAAATCTATCGTCAATATAATAGGCACCGAAATCAAAATTATCCTTGTTTCTTTTGTAATTTTATTTCTTTTAAGTTTGAGTGTGCTTGGCTTCATGTTAAAAGAAAAAACAAAATCATTGCTTTTGATAGAAGCAAATAGTTAAATACAAAAATAAATTAAAAAGAACTTAAACATATTTAATATAATTAAAAAGAAAAAAATATGCACTTTCTCTATTAAAAAATATAAGATATTTTTAATTTTTTAAAATGTAATCATTACCTTTTCTTTTCTAAAAGTGCCCTTATTAAATAAATCACTTTATATTTATTTTAGGGTCAAACACCTTATTAAATAGGTGTAAATAAAAAAATTTGAATAATTTAAAGACTTGTAATTATTTTATTAGGGAGTAAAATTTGGTTAAAAATACCTTACATTTTTTAAACAGAGAAAGGACATGTATTTGCACCAACATTTTTTTAATATATAGACCAAGATATTGTCATAATGATTGGTACGTCATATTTGATTTTTTTTTTTCCCTTTAATAACGTCTAAACACACATCTTAACTTTTGTTAAAAACCAGTTAATTAACTAAAGAGCCGTTATGGGTGTGGCTATGAACTATATTATGAAAGATTCAAAATCTTAAATAATAGCTTTTCAACTTAAGTAACAAAAATAATGATACACTAGAACAGATAGATGAGAAAAATTAAGATTGGTTTTCATTGGCGTGGCCAGCTAAAGTCTCTTAATTTCAATAAAGCTTGTTTGGAACAAAAAATAATCACATGGTTTCAAACTTTGGCAGAGAAAATAATATCTACTTACACTAAAATAACACAACACAAGTACCTGCTTTTTCGACACCAGTCCCTTTCAATTTTTCCAAAAATTTGTTAGTGTATTGTAATCAAAAGCAAGTGATGATGGGATTCAAATTCAAATTCATGAAACAAACAAGGGAAATGAACACTTAAAGATCCATAATTTTTAATAAATTATTAATAATATTAAAATTAATTGTTTTTCCTAAAACAAGTTTTAAAGTTAAGTTAATATTGACGTCCCATAAAATTATAACACATATTGTAAAGTTACAGCATACTCTTCTTCTTCTTGTTTTTTTTTTTTTTTTTGTTTTTTCTTTTTGTTGGTAAAGAGCATATATGGTCTATATTTATCTCACTAGAATATTTTTTTACTTCAAATTAATAATACATTCAAGATATTCTTAAAACTTAAAAATATGTTATATAGTTAATTTGGAAATGAATCATTTTCTTAATTCTTGTCACCTAATAATATTAGCTAATTAAGTGAGTTTATTGGGAGTTCATTGGGGCATACAAGCACCTCACAAACCAACTCATGTATACTTAATTATTACAATTTTTCTATCAAGGTCCTCACATTGTGAGATAAAATTAAAATTATTGCCTTGCAAAAGCACTGGGCCTCACACACACATGCACACAGACACGCTCTTATCATTAAATCTCTTTAATTAACAATTTTTTTTTTTTTGTAATTTCTTGTGTAAAATTTAGATCATTAAATTTAATCACCTGTAATGATGAAAGATTCAAATTCTCCCTATGTAAAAAATATTTAGCCAAAATACTATCATTTTAAAGATATTTGTAGTGTTTTATCAAAAATTTTTTGATCAAATTTTCTCAAACTTTTAATTTGTTAAACTTCAGCTTTTAATCAATACTCCCTCTTGTAACTAGTTCATGGCAATTAATAAAATTAGCTAAGTTGATTATTTTTCACGATTATATAAAAATGTGTTACTTCCCCTAAAATACTCTTTTTTTAATCAGGGTAACATGGGAGATAAAGAATGAGAAAAACTAAGAATTTAATGAGAATAATTTGAAATGATAAAAAGATCGCGGCATTATATTTAGGATCGGACAGAGTATTATAAAATATAAACTCTGTGATTAAATATGAGCTTTTTTAAAATTAAAATAACTAGTACATATAATAAAGGGTTAAACAACACTTTTGCTCTTTAACTATCTATTCATTTAGGGGCATATGATATTATAAATTTATATATGATGCAATTTTTCTTTCAATACTTGAAAATGATGCACTGGGTATCATGCTGTTAAAAAAGTTAATTTCAATTGTTAGCTAACTTAAAAAATTACAAAAAAGCTTAAAAATTACAGAAATTGACTTATAAAATTGCAAATAATTACCATATAGAAATTAATATTAATTAAGTATTTAAAATTATTTTACAATCACTTTCGCATGTTTAACACATATCAAGCAAATTATGTGGACTCAAAGTTTCATTACATGTTACGCACATTCGCAAATCTTAATTTGCATGATAAACACATAATTCACATTATATAACAATTAAAATATAACTATCAAAAGTAGAGTTTTCTCAATTATCTCAAATTTTTGAAAGATCAAAAATTTACCCCTCAATATTATAGCTTTCAAGATTGAATTTTCAAGCCAAAATGGTGTCCAAAAACTTAATCTACAATCCATAAATTGTTAGATTCATCAATATAATTCACATTACATAACAATTAAAATATAACTATCAAAAGTAGAGTTTTCTCAGTTACCTCAAATTTTTGAAAGATTAAAAATTTACCCCTCAATATTATAGCTTTCAAGATTGAATTTTCAAGCCAAAATGATGTCCAAGAACTTAATCTACAATCTATAAATTGTTAGATTCATCAATATAGTAAACCATATACTTTTCAAAATCATATTTTAGTTTTTTATTTGAGTAAGAAATAATTTTTATATCATGTTATCTATATATATTTTAGAAAACTTAATTAAAATTAATTTTTTATAGAATACTTATGTGTAATTTTATTGTTCATTTTCTGCAATTTTTAAGTTAATAAATGGTTAAAGTAAACTTTTTTTTTTTAGTTTTTAGTGATAGGGTGCTCAATAATACACAATTTTTAAATGTTTATGATGCCATATACTCTTAAATGAGTAGTTAAACCTTACCATAAAACTGGCATTGAAATTATTCCCAAGGGAAGAAAAATTCAGAAAAAACGTGGCCTAAGACTTGAATCAAATGACACGGCAATCCAATGCCAATCCAACGTGCTGATGGAAGAGAATTATTAATCATGACGATCTTGTTTTCGTGTTGGGCCACACGCGAAGCAGAGCCAAGACCAACGCTTCGTGGGGTCACCGAAACTTAATACCACCTCGCGTGGGATTAACACTACCCCTCTCTCCTCCTCTCAGTCTCATCTCTAACTCTTACCTGCTCATTACTCCTCACAACTTGTTTTTACTATTTAAATTTAAAAATCACTGCACAATGCACATCCACCACTTGTATACATATGCTCACTGTCACACACACATGACTCACTTCTACTAATTACTTCATCCACATAGTAAGAAAAAGACAGGAAATTAAATTATTGATATTATTTAAAAATAAAAAAAATTTCAGTTCTCTATTTTTAAAAGGAAAATGACAGTAAATATTTACAGATGGTTCACTAATAAAATTCCCACATCAATAAGAAAATTTGATTCTATAATCTTATAGATTATGAACTAATTATTTACCAACCATACTAACAGTTGTTGAGAAAATGACAGTAAAGTTTTAGAAGAGAAAATTAATAAAAAATAAATTCTTGACAAAATTTTTTTATAAAAGAAATTATAGATATTTATTCATACAATTGCATACAAGAATTTTAATTACATATTGAAAGTTATATTTAAAATTTAAATTTTTATTTATAATTATTTGAATCATTTTGCTCCTTTTTTTTAAAAAAAATTCATTGGGGACTTATGTGTCATTTTTCACCCTTTCTCCTTGCTATATGTATATATAACTTCTTAATCTAATTATAAAAGTGTTAAATTATGAAAATTCTTCACTTTTTATAATTATTATTTTATCTAAAGTGAGTTTTATATATCAGCCCATCCATTTATCGCTTCTATGTGTGCTTGTATATATAATTTTCTTTTTTATTTTCTATGCTACATCTTTCCACATTTTGCACTCATTACTGTTTCTCCTAACTCATATTCTCCCTCCTCCGATCCTTCTCTTCCATCTCTTGTTCTTCTTCTGTAATATTATTATGGCACCACCGAATTAAATTAAAGCTTCTGATCTTCACTTCACACTTGTTGTCTGTCGTAATTATGCACAGCTTCCTGTGGATAAAATAGTAATTTCAACCCTAGGTTCGCAGTACACTTCACCCCCAATCGGCCTCTCTGTCTGCAGAAGCCGCCTCATATAACTCAGTTTCCCTCACACCAACACAACACAAACACAGAGAGAGAGAGAGAGAGCGAGAGAGAGAGAGAGAGAGAGAGAGAGGGAGGGAGAGAGAGGGTAAAAAGCTTGCCACTTATTTCTGTATAGAGAGAGAGAGAGAGAGAGAGAAGGGACAAAAGGGTTCAGCTTTTAGACGGTGAAAGTGAGATCTTTTTAGCACTCATCCATATAGTCGCAGAAGAAAGAGAGAGAAAAGACTTACTGGTCACGCCATTAGAGTGTGTAAGGAGGCAACCAGAGAGACCCAGATGGAAGAAGAAATAGCTTAGGTAGAGCCTGCAGATTAGGGTTTTTGATATTTCAGACCGAATCTCACTTCTTCACTGAGTTTCACACTGCTTTTTGGTGAGTCACTTTTCCTTTTTCTTCTTCCTTTATACATAAACAAGACAGTTCAATTACCAACCAAACTTGTGTTTCTTGGGTGGTGTAGTGTGTTCCGGAGCTAGAAACGGCGTCGTCGTGGTGGACCTCCTCTGTGAGAGAGAAGGGGGGAGACATGTTGGGGTACGAATGGGGGAACCCTACTCCGTCGACTATAGTGCTCGCCGGAAACGAAGAAGCTGCCGTTACCACTGCTGCAGACTCCGACCAGACCCACCGGCAAATCTTTGACCATTACGCTTCTCATTCCTTATTGCCGGAACATCTCCTTCATCAGCAGCACCAGCACCAGCCAGGGCCCACACAACACGCCACCGCAAGCTCCACCGCGGATTTCTCTCACTACCAGTTCAACCCTCAAACCAACCACCACCACCACCACCACCAGCATAACATCCAGCACTCGTTCTTCGATCCACGCGCCTACCCCGGCGCGTCCTCATCCTCCTACCCTCCGCCTCAGCCTCCGCCTCCTTCCATGCTCTCTCTTGACCCGCTTCCAGCCGTCAACGCCGCCCACTGTGGGCCAGGTGGGTTTCTGGTCGTTCCCAAGTCCGAGGACGTGGGTCGATCCACTGACTTTCCGGCGTCCAGAATTGGGCTCAACCTCGGTGGCCGCACGTACTTCTCATCGTCGGAGGATGACTTCATGAGCCGGCTCTACCGCAGGTCAAGGCCGGCCGAACCGGGGTCAATGATGATGGCATCGAACTCTCCACGGTGCCAAGCGGAAGGCTGCAATGCCGATCTATCACACGCCAAGCACTACCACCGCCGTCACAAGGTGTGCGAGTTTCACTCCAAGGCGGCCACCGTCATCGCCGCCGGCTTGACCCAGCGATTCTGCCAACAGTGCAGCAGGTTGTAGTTGAACTGACGGAATTACCCCTCCCGGACTTGTGCCCCCGAAGCCAATCATTGGTTTCGTCCCCGTACAAGGGCAGATCCCGAGGGCATTTACGTCCGGAGAGAAATTTCCCTCTTCGTTCCTTTTCTTCGTACATTCTTGCCTTTGCTTCTTATAGTATCAGTGCAATTAGAAACACAAAACAAACTGAGCATTGACTCCATACATACATGAAATTTAAAACCACCTTTCTCATCACGAAGAAGACGAAGAAAAATCGAAAAAAAACCCATTCGTGTGGTTCGAAAAGACAGAAATAGCCCTCTAACCTGCCCTTATTTCCACCATTTTGCTCCCTTGGAACCGCAAACACAGCAGAAAACGATGATGTGACTCTTTTGCTTCTTTCCCAGAATGGTTAGGAGCAAAGAAAGCCACCTCAAAAGACGAAAATGCCCTCGGAAGGGCTTTGATATGATCAATGATTAACCCTCCCCGTACGTGGGGAAATCCCGAGGGCATTTGTGTCCCTAAATTTTAACATCTGATTTCCATTCTCAGTTTTTACGTACAGCATTGTTTTGCTACTTATTGAGAGTGCATCATTAAACCGTCACAACACCTTTATTCATAATTACTTGATTTATTATCGGAGTCTTACACATGTTTGAGCAAAAAAAGAAAGACGAATTTCTCAAAGATAAGTTTTTTTTTTTTTTTATATATAAGCGTGTTTGCATGGGTCTGCTTTTTGCAGGTTCCATCTTCTTTCTGAGTTTGACAATGGAAAACGAAGCTGCAGGAAGAGACTTGCAGATCATAATCGTCGCAGAAGAAAAACCCAGCAGCCAAATCAAGAAATCCTGAAAACCCAGATCGAAAATTCTCGAAATTCTACTTTGGAAGTTGTTTCAAGTAAGCATATATACGTTTATATACACATCTTCCTATTCTGTTACACTGTATTGTAATTAAAAAGTATCTAAGTATTTAAAAACTAAAGTTAACGAAAGTGGTAGAATTTCTTATTATTCAAATAAATAGTTGAGAGTTGACTTTTATATATATAATAATTTTTGTAAGAGGTTTATTCTTTGCTATTAGCATATGGAGGAGATGATATTTGTTGTTGATGGAACTTACTCTTGTTTTATAACTATATAAACACTAATTTTTGAATCAGAATGGCATGATATATAATTGGTTTTCCCTGAGCAGCAGAGTCTCAAGTTTAAATTTTGTAACATGTATGTGGTTGAATTTATGTGCCTAATTTAGTAAAAGAAAATTAATTAAACCCGAATAAAAAGTAATGTTGCTAGGAAATTACAGTACCTTCTTAGGATAAACAATGACAATTATGTAAGCTTACCAATAAAAAAAAATTGCATGGGAGTATAGTTTTTAACTAGTTCCGTTTTTTTTTTTAAATTTTCTGGGATAATTTTGCAGGATCTCCACCGGACTCCGGAGCTCAGGGGATGTCATCAGTGACGGTGGCAGTGTCGCCGCCGGACTATTTCCGGCAAACGGCGTATCAGAATCAGAGGACAAGTCCATCGACAACATCAAGCTCACTGTTCTTCTCTAGCGGGTAGTGAAAATGAAAGTGGGAGCAATTTGCATGGCTTTAATTATATATATATATATATATATATATAAATAATATTATATACCTTAGGAAATTAATGGAGGAGGATCAATAATAACACTGTGAACTTCCACTATGTAACTATAATTTTCTCCCCAGAAATTTAATTCTTAAGTTAAATGTGTTTAATTTCTTTAGTTCGGTCTCTCAAATGTCTATAAATTTATTAACTTTTCTTAGTAATGATTATTATTTTCATTTTTATATTGCGATCTAGTTCAATTAATTAAAAAAAAGAAAAATTAATGAAACTGTGCTCAATGTCCTTGTGCTTTTACTTTTTCAGCTTTTACTGCTAGTAATTAATTTTGGGTTCTGATGAACGTAGAACTGGGAATCGACTCCTTTACTTGGATTTTCCCAGAAATGGTGTCTGTTCGTTTTTTCAGGGAAAGTCATGTCTCAGGTTTACAAGTTGGGATACACACTGTTCGTTTTTTATTGTTTGAGAAAGTATCATTATTTTTATTATTTATATAAATAAAATTATTTTTTTAATAAGCATGTATTACATATTTTTTAAATCATTTTTTATAATTTACATTAACAAACAATAATAAATGCATGTTTATATTGATTAACATATGATATTTTAGTTCCATTTTTTTATTTTTAAATATAATTATTATGGTTAACTGACTTTTTTAAACTTAGTGATATATTTTTTCTCTTATATATACAAACAGAGGAAGTGTTAGTTTTTTATTCTTTGAAAAATAATTTTTACATAAATTAAAGTTCATTATTCAAATGAATCTCGGATGTTTAAGTGAAATTTATTATTAGAATGATGAAATGTTAGTAGTTCAAACCTTTTAAACTGAAGTGCTGTTTTATATTTTTATTTAATTATTTTAAAATCTATAATTCTATGACTTATATATTTGATGAATATGCATGATACCGATTTCAATATTATTTCACAAAGTAAATCCTGGCCAAAAATAAATAAATAAGAAGAAAGCATAAATGTCGTCAAGTTTTTTTTTTTCCCTTGCTGATAAATGCAAAGATACAAATAATTGTGAGGAATGATGAACACTGTAATTCTGGGCATAAGTTAAATTAAATTGCATGGTATTAAAAGCCACTTGGGTAGTTGGGTTAGCTTAGATATTAAAAGTGGATGAAATATGGTTAAAGGTGAAAGAGTTTTCTTCTCTCGTTTGTCAATATATATATATATATATATATTAGTAATGTGAAAAAAAATTTCATAGTATTGTGTAATTTTGCAACATGTCTATATGATTTTAAAATTTAATGATGAATTTATTAAATTTTTAAATTTTTTACTTATAATATTCTATTTTTAATTTGATTATTATCTTACTAACGAAGTATGTTATGTGAGAAGACTATTTGTGTAGGACCCAAAGTTTATGAGAAATTTAAACAATAATTATTTGTAAAAAATAAAAATAAAAACTCAATTTTCATTTAAGAAATAACGTTCTAATTAACCATAATGAAATATTAGTCAAAAGGTAAGAATAATATGCATAAAGGTTAACAAGAAAATATTTTAAAGGGATCTGGCGAAGACATTGACATTACCACTATCTCTGTGAAAAGTAATTTGGTTTATAACGAGTATACATAGATGGGGGACAAAAAACTAGTGTGTATGCCAGCGTGCTTTTGTGTGCGTGTGAGAGTGAGAGAGAAAGAGAGAGAGAGAGAGAGAGAGAGAGAGATGCAACTTCATAAATCAGCGATAATTGTTGACAATTTTTTTTTTAAGGTAAACTAGATAATGGTTGACAATTTGTCAGAACTTTCCGAATAATTTAAAGCTGTCGTAGCAACATGTTAAGACTTCAGTATTATTTGAAGATATTTTTTTTTAATATCATATTTGAAAATATAAGAGGACCCAGTGTGTTTAATAGAGGGAAAAAAAATTAAAAGATGGGTTTAAATAGTGAACAATGGGATTATCAAATAGAGTTGTATAAATAAATTAAATAATGCCAAAACGAATTTTTAAGACATTCTACATGAAAGTTGTTTTTGTTTTTTTGGCCGCAGGAGAACTTAACTTCATTTTCTAATATTTATAACTCAATTGTTTAATATTTAAGCTTCCAAAATTTACAATAGTGCCATGCAAGGTTGTTAAACTTGCAAACATAAATAAATTTGTGACAGTAATGTAAACTTAAAATATAAATTACCATTAATTTGTAAAGAATTTATTTTTTTTTAAACCAAATCCTACCGCTTATATGAATCAAATTCTACATAATATATACTTTTTTTGCTCAATGAGTTTATAAGCAGGTTGTCACAATTTTATAAGTTAAAAGGATAAAAATGATAAACTCAGAGAGTTAACTCATGAGTTTAATCGAGTGTATGAGTAGGTTAATATAATTTTATAAATTAAAAATATAAAAATGATAAACTTATAAAGTTAATTTGAGAGTTTGACAACAATAGTACTACAGAATCCTACTATTTTTGTAATTGATAGGTTAATAGATTACAAATTATTTTTGTGATTTAGAATGACTTAAAATCCCTCCTCATAGCTTATTACTCCGTCACGGGCGTTGGTCCTTGGAGTCGTGGAAATTGGCACAAGGAGGTTGACGTTGAAGCAAACGGCGTTAAGAGAGTACACGTGGCTAACTGTTCTTCCAATGGGCTCCACATTCATCTTTCTCCCTCTCCCTCTCCTATGTATTTTATTTTTTTTGGGGGCATCCAAGCCGATATCAGCTTTGCAAGCGAGCAGTACAGGAGCCAAGAACTGAGAGTGACAGAAACATGCATGAGAGTGTACATATTATAGAAACAAGCATCTGAATTTTAGTACCTTCAATAATCATAACTATATATCTAACTTTTATCAATATGTATATATCTGCACTGCAAATAATACGACTGTATCTATTGAGAACTTATTGACTATTCTGTTTTAGAAGAATTTGTTTGATACTGCATAATATGCTAGTGGATCTGTAAGCTTAATATTTTTAAAAAAATAATAATTTTATAACTAAACATAATAATTATGCTATGATTAAAACAATATAAATAGATTGATCATCATTTTTTTAAATATATTAAAAAGGTTGACATGGTCTTTTAAAAATGAATATGTTTTTCATATCTTAGTTAAATTATTAAAAAAAATTTTATTTAGTCATGAGGGTGTAAAATATCAAGAATACAAGGTGTAAAGTTACAAAATTTATATACCCTCTTTCTAATTTTTGGAAATGCACCCCTCATAATGTGGCTTGATATATAATATATGGTATCTTTTAAATGTCATACTTAATCTAAAATAATATAGAATATGGAGTAATTATGCTTTTGGTAGCATGCACAACGGCTTGAACACACACAATGGCTTTATTTTAAGCTTAAATTTCACTGATGTTCTACTATACCGGTTAACTTTTATGTTGTTAACAGTGGAAAGTACTACGTCCCTAACGATGCCCAAACTCAGAAGCTGCAATAAAAGAGATGTTTCAGAATACTTCTGGTTGTACACACGTACTTGAGGAAGAAGAAATGAAAGCAACGGTTGTTTTTTTCTTTCTTTTCTCTTCTTTTTTTATTTTTAAAGTAAAGTACCAGACAATGAAAAACTAGACGAACAATTTCAATTATATGGATATAGAAATGAATCAAAATGTCGATTGGCTTACTTGCTAGGCCATGCATTATAGTTTAGATATTGAGATTTTTGATGTCCGTCTATATAGATGTAGTTACCTTTTGTATCATGACTTGACTTGATCAGTTATCTTTTTGCACGGATTTTAATCCATGGCCTTGTATTTCAATAATAATAATAATAATAATAATAATAATAATAATAATAATAATACCAACACTCACCATCCATTCAGGATCACCACTTGGAGTTAATTGTTCCTATATATTTAAAAAGCTCATTATAGTTTTGAGGCCCAACGACTTGCTGGTTTGACTAGATGGTTCAGGGACATGTGGAGGTGTTATAATATAAGAGATGATAGTGGCAATTGGTTAACTAGTTTTTGCTGTAAGCTGGGAAATTATCCACTTGCTGTATATGGCGGAAATTTTTGGCATTCAGTCAGGCCTTGAACTGCGCTGGAATTAAGAGTGTTCAAAACTGATTAAAATTGATTGTCTCAAATCAAACCGAACTAAGTTGGCATGAACCAAAAAAAAAAAAAACTTTAATCAAACCTAAACGAAACCGCTGGATCAAAGGAAAAAATAATCAAATATGTCCCAAGACTTTGATGAACCAATTGGTTTCATTCGATTTGGTTTCCCTCAAAACCGAACATGCGAACATTCTTGATTAAAACAAAGACTATTTATTAGAGATTAGACGCTTGAACAACCTTTCCAAGACATCATTCATGCAATTGTTGGTTTTATCTCTGGAGATTGGCATCGCTACTACCAAAATAAAGAACAAGCTTTTGTTTTTTTTTTTGGTAAAAAAAATGGTTGTATTTTTTTTTTGGTAAAGAAAAAAAATCGCTCTTGTAAAACATGACAATCTGACAAGTTGCTCATTTGGACTTTGCTACGTGGGCTTCCACTTGAACTTCTTACGGCCAATTGGATCCACATTTTTTGTTCTCTTCAAGCGACCCATCAGACCCAAAGTAAGAGGACTAGTAGCCGCCTCTACATGTTCAGTGTTCTTAAATTATTTCCATTTTTATTTTTTTATAAAATTAATTCTTACTATTAGAAATTAGTATTGGCTTTTTTATTCACACCATGTTATATTATCAACATAATTTCATTGAAATTGCATTCATTAGTCAAGTAACTACGACTACTACATCCACATATATTTAAATATAGGTAAATTTTTACCAACTCACACACTTTGTGAAAATTGGTTAATTCTAATAATTATGTTTGAAATTAAAAATTTTGATCTAAAATATCCTTATGATTAGTCCTTAATTTTTCCCTAATTTGATGATATTGTCATTTAATGAAGGGCAATTTAGGAAATATGTTATAAATCTTTATAAAATTTCTTATTATGCTTATAAAAAGAAACAAAGAACCATACAGAAGTTTTGATTGTATAAAAATGACAAGGAGTATAATTTTATTTTGAAAGTTGTGTTCGGTCAAATTTATTACTAATTTTATCACCTAAAAAATT